ATAGGGATAATCACCATACAGTTTACCAAAACATTGTCTTTTTGTTGTCAAAACTAGATCGATTAAAGTGCACTCTGTCCACTTTGTTTTACATTTTACAAATGTAAAGTAAGTGTACCTCTGTGAGCAAACCAGAGTTGGAAGTCCAGGCTATGACCACAGTTCTGTGGTTGTGGAAAAGTGGATTACATTTGTTAGCTGGTGGGACACCTTTTAAAAAAAATAAATAAATAAAAAAGTATGGCAGTGCATTTTTTGCAAAAAGAAAAAAAAAAGCGTCCAGGTGCATCACACGATGGGTCAGGTGTCTTAATGAGATTTTTGAATCCTAGCTTTTCCACAGTCTTGTCCATCTCTTGGGGCGATGTGTTTCATCACCGCTGCCATGTTCTATTTCCATTTTGATTTTTTTGTTATTGGGTTTTTTTGTTATATGTGACTGAATTGGCAAATGTTGAAGCCATTTCCTTTTAGATGTACAGTGAAACAAATTGGTGGTACTACTACCTTTGGTCATATTGGATTTGTGGCATATTTTGCCGCTAACCATATTTTCTTTGTGGCAAAATAAAACCACTGCTCGATGATTAAGCCAGCATTTAAGCACATTTCTTTGCAACCAAGTGGTCCGTCCCCATTTGCGATTAATGTCTCGTACACTCTCCTGCTCCCTTTAACTTCTTTTGCTCTCTATATGCTCTTTCCCTTCTCTCCTGTTACAAAAACACATATGTGCGAATTAGAGTTTTCTGGATAGGTGGGGGAGTGTGCTTCTTTATGTGAGAGGTACAACAGCAGAGAACGAAAGAAGCAAAACTGCAGAGACATTTACTTACCGATGTGGATTTACACTTGATGGTCACGATATAGTCATTTCATACATCCCCTGTGCAACAACAACAATAATAATAATAATAATGATACATTTTATTTATAAACGCCTTTCAAAACACTCAAGGGCAATTTACAATCAAGAACAAAAACAATAAAAACAGATAAAATTATAAACACTCAAAAAAAAATTATAAACAATGAAAAAGAGTTGAATTAAAATTGAGTGTGCGATTTTGAATAGGTGGGTTTTGAAATGGGATTTGAATGTGGGAAGATAATCAATATTACGGATGTTGGGTGGAAGTGAGTTCCAGAGTTTGAGGGCAGAGCGGCTGAAAGCTCTGCACCCCATCATGCTGAGGCAGGCAGAGGGTACACAGAGGTGGAGGGAGGATGAGGACCTGAGGGAATGAGAGGGAACGGAAATTTGAAGAAGATCCGACAGATGGGTGGCGGGGCGGGGGACAAGATTATGGATTGCTTTAAATGAATAGAGACGTATTTTGAAATTGATTCTAAGTTTGACAGGGAGCCAGTGGAGCTGTTGGAGGATGGGGGTGATGTGATGAAAGGAGGGGTTCTAGTGAAGATCCGGGCTGAAGAATTCTGGATCAGTTGAATTTTATGGAGGAATTTGTGATGGACACCGAAAATAAGTGAATTGCAATAATCAATACGGGAGGTGACGAGACTGTGGACAAGGATAGCAGTGGCGTGAGGGGTGAGAGACGATTTATATTACGTAGGTGAAAATATGCGGACCGGTTTATGTTACTGATGTGGGAGTGGAAAGATAGTGAGCTATCGAGGATGACAACGATATATTGAGTATATTCAAAATACAATGTCAAGTAGACATCTTTTACCCAAGATGCACAACATCATTTATGAACATCATTTGGAAATTTCGGGACAATTTGACTCATGTCCGAAATAACAGTGTCAAGGACACTTTTCACTTATGCCTTCATTCCCTTCAAGTGCTTGTACCGTATGTGTTTACGTACTGCATATATCTGCCGCGCTGTCTGTTGGCACTTGTCGCTCATCCGCAGATTACGTGAGTACGCATTGATTGAAAATGTTTTCAAGTATATTTCCTACAAACGCCTCTTTGCTGTGCTATATTAATCCCTTATTATCTACCTTAACAATTTAGGGAATGGTTGCTCATTCTCAGATTCGCTTTCAACACCCATGCATTGGCTGAGATGCAATAAGGGCACGGCTCATGCAAATTGGAGATCCGCGGGCACGAGCCGTCATTTAGAATGATTTATGATTCATCAACGTATGCATCGTGGTGCGAAGAAAATAGGCCGGTACACCAGTGTTTGGAATCTGACGGTGATTTTGTGTATATGCTTAAACCGTGCGCAGCGTAAGAACATTTATACACATTCAGATTCAGATTCAGAAAACTTTATTCATCCCCATGGGGTAATTGGACTTAACAGGCACGCTCTGCACAAGAAACATGAAAAACAAAGACGAACATGGGATACAGTGCGAAGGGCCTGTCGGTACTCGCCGTAAGTACAGCGCCCCGAGATCTTAGATGAGAAAAGTAAACACTAGGGAAGGAGGGGATAAAAAAACCATGCTCGAACTATCCTCTTCTGAGGATAATTTAAGTCTAGGAGAAAAAAATTCCCTGCACATCAAGCATATGACAGTTACAACGACGACTTTGGAAAATAAATGTTTAATTCAAATTTAAATCTGTTTGTTTCTCAAATGCAAATGATAATTTAAAATAAACCATATATGTATGTTTTTTTTTTTTTGTTTCTCAAAATTTGCATCACAAGCACCAATGTGCGAAAAATAGAGTCAAGATTCGTTGAGCTTTTCGACCCCTGGTAGACAACTCATGCATGAATCCGAGAAAGCACACTGTTTAAATCTATGTGCTACATGAACAATATTAACGGCATCTTGCAATTGTGTGTGAAAGTGAAAGTGACGTCAACGGCACTGATGTGTCGATGTTCTACGCTTCAGAAGCGTAGAACAACATAAGTTCAGAAGGAAAAATGACATTAACTAGGGAAAAGAAATAAATGACTGTTTTTTTCCAAATATGTATTTTACATTGTTAAGTAAAAACCATCCAGCCATCCATTATCTGCACCGCTTATCCTCTCAGGGGTCGAGGGCGTGCTGGAGCTTATCCCAGCTTTCTTTGAGCAGTGGGCAAGGTACACCAGAAAATACATTTTCACCCCCCCCACTCCCCTCCCCAAAAATAGAAACAGATTATCTTTTTTCATACATAAAACAAAACAAAACAATATACGGTGTTCAATGTTATTCACACTTCAAATGTTGAAAGGTTTTTGTGGCCCCCCTGTTGATTTTTGATGTTGCTTTGTTTTTCTTCTGTGGGAGACGATTAAAATGGTAATATTAAGGGTTGCCGATCTCTGGTGTAGAGTGATGTCTGGGCTCAGGCAAATTCACCCAGACACATTTGTTCGAAAATATTACCCATCATCCCCAGAGTCACCCTTTTTCGCATCATTGCAACACTTTCACACTTTCTTCAATGTACCCATAGCCGTCTTTACTTTTTATCGAACATAAAAACTCATCGTGCTTTCCAGGCGTCGCGAGCTTGACAGCAGCAGGTGTCCATGAATCACATGCTCACTGAGAACGTGTGCCTAATCCAAATGTTTCTGACATAGTGGTGAGTTGCCAAAGGCAGCAGACAAGTTCGAGTGATTCAGTGTACCCCCTCTTTTTCGTCAGGATGACAAGCTACGTTTAGAGCCAGACAAGCACCTGGGATGACTGCTTCTGACACAACATGGCCAAAATTAACATTTTTACCCACATGGGATTTTATCTCGTTTCAGTCTCTCCTTCGTCGCCACCTTTAAGCCATGTCAAGAAAATGTAAAGATTGCGGGTTAATGACAACTGTTGAAGTGATAGACAGTAAAGTTATTTGTCATTCTTCAGTTGCGCCTTCAACTGGCAACCCTGAAACACTTTTATATATCTCATTGTCAGCATCGTTTGTCAGAAATGACACTTGACAGGAGACAGTATAAGGCCCTCTGGTGTTGCCTGGCTCATTTTCTCCTAACATTCAGACTGAACAACCCTTGCTTATGGAGATACGGAACCTCGGTTCGTTTGGTTGTCGTGGTTACTTGAAAAGAGAAAGTTGTCTCATGTTAGCAGGTAAACTACTATATCGCATAATGTCACAGGACAGGTGTTAAATATTTTCTTTCAGGGCGGATTGTGTGACAAATAAAGCATGGTTTCACACCGGAAATTAACCGACGTGTTCTGCTCAAAATACACACACATACATACACACACCCCACCCCCAAAAACAGGCTATTGTAAAAGAAAAAAAATAACATGGATGGCCATTTTTGGTATTCAGATCATTGCTGCTCTCTTTCTTTTGCTTTTCTTTATTTCAAATGTCACAGGACTTCATTAATGCAATCTTTCCTCCAAAATGTATTTCCAACTAATCATGAAATCAAACCAGAAAACTTTCTTGTGTGGACTTTTGGACATTGTCCGCCAAACACATTCCACAACTTGGCTTTGATTGCTTTTAATCACTGTCTTGGTACACCCACACCACGTCACCTTCTCCATCTTTTAAATTGTCTGCAAATATGTTTAACCGGGAAAGGCGGAGGAGTCCATTTTCTAATTCCAGATCTTTTCTGTAGGTGTTAATTGCAGACTGACCTCTGAAGCATTTTTAGATGCCATTTGTTTTAAATCTAATCTTAGTTAAAACCGAAGCGGCAAAATGAAAGGGCAGAATACCACAATAAAGCCATGCGTGACACCAAAGCAAATTCTAAACCGAGTATAACACTTCTGCTTGACACCTGCACTGCGTGGTTGTAAAATGACATATTTGGTTTTCAAGGGAACCTTTAATGAAGAAAACCAATGCACGGCCCTGTATTTACTTGAATGGAACAAGTCCTTGATTGCGAAACAGTTTTTACAATCATTTTATACAATCAACTAACCTTCACATTTTTCTTGATTTTGCTGGCTGTGCTTTGCTTATATGCCCCAGTAGCAATACACGAGTAGAAGGAAAACTCCAAGGAGCTAAAAAGATGAACTGTCCAATTTGACTCACAAACTGATCACAAAATGTGTTTGTGCTTCTACAGGCAGCCCCCCTGCGACAGGGACTGGCACATTGGTCATTCACCTGGAGGATTACAATGATAATGCACCATATGTGGTACCGTCAGTAGCACGGGTGTGTGAAGACGCACATGATATGAATGTGGCCATAGTTGGTGGACGGGACAAGGACCTACCACCCAACGGAGCGCCTTTCAAGATAGAGCTGGGAAAACAACCGGGACTAGATAAAACCTGGAATGTGACCAGGGTCAACTGTGAGTATTTTATACTTTTGCAATCCGTAATAAGCATATGAGTGTATAACGTCTACATATGTGCAACTGATCTACAGTAGTGAGTAGAACACCACTTGTACTTTTTAAAATTACATTCAGCTCTGATCAACACCAGCCACTTTCCAACAGGATAAGGTTGAGAGTGCAAAACAGATTTGCACGCATCTTCAATTCTTAAAGGACAATTCAAAAAGTTTCCATCTAATGTTCGCAGTGCTCATCGGAATCCACACTAAAAACAAGTATAGATCTGCACTGAGGATGAAGAATAAAATGATCTGAGGAGGAAAAGGATGTGTGTGTGTGTGTGTGCGTGTGTGCGTGTGTGTGTGTGTGTGTGTGTGTGTGTGTGTGTGTGTGTGTGTGTGTGTGTGTGTGTGTCTGTGTGTGTGCGTGTAGGCAGACAACCAAGACATTGATTCAGGGTTGCATGGACGACAAGCGCGTCTTTGTATGTTTGAGCGACAGAGCAGAGCTAAAACTTGCCCACAGGTAATACACCCGTGACTGACAGCTGGCAAAGGGGGGCACTGATACTCCTCACTCACTAATTCTGTCTGCATTTGAACTCCTCCCAAAAATATCAGAATTTAATATAGTGTATGCATGAATACATGCATTCATTTGTTGACAGGACATGTGAAATCATACGCAAATTGCACACCTCATCTTTTAGATGAGTTTTTAAGATGCTGCAGCTAAGCATCCTCCGTGTCTTGTTCAAGAAAAGAAAATCAAATTGAAGAATCTAAACACAGTACAGTAGTGCGTTAAGATATAAGTGACCCAAAGAACCGAGAGTTGGGGGTGGGGGTGGGGGGGCTCTGATTTATGAGCAAAAGCTTGAGATACCAACATTGCATGGTGGCAGTGAAATAAATTCACGTTAAGAAATGCATATAAGTTCCGCAGAATTTAGGGAAAATGAATAAATAAATATAACAACAGCGGATGGCCCGGTGGTCGACTGGTTAACGTGCCTGGCTCAAAATGGTGTGGGGTGCGGGGTTCGATTCCGGTTCCGGGCTTCCTTTGTGGAGTTTGCATTTTCTCCTTGAGCCTGTGTGGGTTTTCTCCGGGTACTCCGGTGTCCTCCCACATTACAAAAACATGCGTGGCAGGTTAATGGAACACTCTAAATTGTCACTCGGTGTGATTGTGAGCGTGAATGGTTTTTTGTCGATGTGCGTACTCCGATTGGCTGGCAGCCAGTTCGGGGTGTACCTCGCCTACTGCCCGCAGACTGCTGGGATAGACTCCAGCACACGCGTGACCCTTGTGAGGATAGGCGGATTAGAAAATGGTTGGATGGATGGATTTAGATTGCGTTTATTAAATCGCTCACTCTCTCTTTTTCTCTCACCTTTCCCTAGCCACACACTCCCAAATCATGTTGCTGCACGGTCTGAAGAAAGCCAACTATCATCTTCCATTGCTCATCACTGATTCAGGGGTGCCTCCTTTGTCCAACAACTCGGAGGTCAAAGTTCAGGTCTGCGTCTGCAAGAAGAACAAGATGCTCTGCAGCTCTGCTCATTCACACCACGCCAGCCTTCTCGTCATGCTTGCAACACTCATTCTTGGCCTACCCTGTAAGTATCACTGCACAGACAGAGAACCAGATGGTAACGATCCCTTTAGTACTTGAAAAGATACTTTTAATTAGCCTTATTAAACATGAAACTCTTAAGTGATTACGGATGACATTCTGTGTCGCTTCATGAATCTGAATACCCTGTCAACTGCCTTGATTTATATTCACCAGTATTTCTGAACAGAATATTAAATACATTTGCCTATGAATTATATAGATGCCAACCCCACAGTAATAACCTTCAGAATACAAATGTGGGAACGTTTGGTCATTCCCCATGCTAGTGAGGTACGGAATTATGGCTTACACTTTTTTTTTCTGTAAACTATGTAAACACGTGTATTTCAAAAGCTCCTCTTGTTTTCAATATGTCTCATGAGGCCATTAGCAAGCATCAGTAATTCAGCCTCCTCCATTCACAAAATAAATGTCCAACAGCAATTTTGATGAGAAAAATCTTGAAGAACTTTGGGGCCTGTACATTCTGTCCATCTGTATCAAGGTTTGCAACTTGTACACCAGAGGTAGAGGCAATGGTGAAAAGACGAAAGCCATAATGTGAACATTTAAAAGACAGAATCAAAGTGAGTCGATACCAAAAGGAGCAAAAAGTAGACTGTTATTTTAGCTCTGCAGGAAGGTGGAATCGTAATTCTCCCATTAGATTTTTCAGCCAGCAATGAAGTTCATTGATGAAAATCACAGCCATGTCTCTTTGAGCACTCTTTCTCATCTTCTTGCAGCCTTGTTATATTGATCCTTCATCTGTCACACTACTTGTCTCCTATGCCAGTTTCATATTACTCATTTTAGAGTTGGTTCCCTGGCAGTTTTCCGATCTCTGCATCACGCTGTTTCTTGAACCATCAGAAACGATTTCATAATATAACATCACAGTTTATCGTTAACTCATGTGGAAGGGAGTATTTACAAATCCACCACTAATCTTTCTCACCGTTTGGATCTATTTGGGTATTGATGCGGATCAATGTGTGTGGTGTGTATCTGTATAAAGGCTCCAGTTGTCAAGTTTTCGGTGGGAGGATTTGCAATACTTCGGGGAAATATCAAAAAAACAGTTTATTGTTATTCCACCAACTAAAACAAATCGTACAGGGTAGCAAATCAAAAATACAGGACTAAATGAAGACTATTAACTCTATATTTCAAGAACATTTGTTTTCACGGCATATGTATCTATACTGTGACTGATGTTTTGGGAACTGATGCTTTGAATGAGTCCGACTCACCGCGGCTCAACGGCAGTGAGCACGCCTCCACATCATGCATCGAGGCCAATTTTTTTAAGCTCTGTTTTAGAAAAAAAGGGAGGGCCTGAAAAAAAAAATCAAGATTCATTTCTTTTGGTTGCGGGGCACTGTCTTTGCGTTTATGGCCTCTTATTCCCTAGAAGCATATAAGGTAAAAGATGATGCATTTGGTTGAATCGACTTTGACATGGGGGAAGCACTTTTATCCACGTCATAATGCGCATTTGATGTATATATTATTTCCTTGAATTTGGTTTATACGAACAACAAATAATGTCTATATATCCAGTGAAAGACGGTTGCGTCACCTGTATATTTTATCAGGCTCGACATTCCGGTTGTGAATCATTTCCTCAGTCCTCACAAGTCACGAGTGCCGGCTCGTGAGAGCGTCTGTGCATCCATCCTTGCTCTCGTTTATGTCAAAATAATGAAATTTCACTCCACCTCAGGGAATCACCTCAGCCAATATCATCTCCTGGCCCTTGATGAAGAATATCAGTAAAAAAATAAAAATACAAATAAAGCCTCTGGGTTAAAGGATATCACTGCTCTGATGAAAACAATGATTCAATGGCTAAAGTAACATGCTGCATAATTTCATAGCAAGGCTAACTGCTTAAATTAAGCTTTATGATTGGAAAGGCAATTAATTAAATAAGGTGTGACTGAAAATGTACCTAACTAAACGTGGACGGGTGACTGCAGAGGTGTCTCGTAACAAAGTAAACATACTTTGTGAACTTACTTTAGAAGAAATTTTGTCACTGTATACTTGAGTGGAGTGGTTATTTTTCAGCCTACTTCGTACTTCCACTCTTTACATTTTTCTGCAAATATCTTTACTTTCTACTCCTTACAAAAAAAGCCCCTATTTCATTTTTTTTAATTGAAATTTGACTTTGTGCACCACGACTGAACTTCCGCTCCATGAAACACACATTCATGCTCAATAGCAAACATGGCACTTTAATTATTTGACTTGTAGGTCTGTTAAATACGATCATCTTTAGTGTGCATATATGTAGCTGAAACAGGTGGATTTCAATGTAACATTTTAACATAACATTGTAATCATTATGACCTTTTTGGGGGGAAGGTGAGGTAGTGCACATTAGGCCCCTGTGACATGGATCAAGCTTTTTCCTTGGGCTAAAAAAAAAAAAAAATGATTGGGGTGAGGTGGATTAATCCGATAAGTATTCCATTGAGGAAAGATTAATCAAAAAAACGCATTTGGATTATCAGGGCACAAAATGACAAGAAAATGTTTGACTTTACTTCCGCTTCAATGCATTCTTTTTTTTCTCTCCTTTGTTACGTGTGGTGGTGAGGGTTTGTTTGCAGTTCCTCTCGCCACCAGTGGACGCTACCGCTTTTCCTGCCTATCTGGTGTCATACCTGGTAACCATTAACACTCAGGTGGAGAGGATGCAATGAGCAGTGAGGAGGCTACAGGGTGCGCTTTTCCTTTGAAAGACACGGCACATGACATTGCTCCTGCTACACTGTTTGCAGTGATGCTAATCATTCGCTGTTCTCATTTTTTCCCCCCACAGCTGCCCAGTTTCACGCATGATTAGCATGCTGGAACATTTCTTGTTTTACTTTATTGTTTTAATTTGGGCTGGTGACCGCCAGGAGCCCCATTACTTCGGTGTTCCTTTTGTGACTCTAGATTTGATTTTTTTCTTTGGTTAGGTGGACAACACTGGATACAACAACCTTTGATTTGGATTTTGTTCCAGTGCTGGCCCTCCTTATTTTACTATTGGTCAAGGTCTTTTTGGTTGTTTGTTTGAACTTATTTTTGGGCAAAATAAAGCTGTATCATTTGACCTCTCCTTTTTGTCTCTGGCGTCCTTCATATGTTGCTGTCTCTTACCGAGCCAAAGAGGCCGCAACATCCTTCATTCCTATTACACTTTTACTTCACTAAAAAGCTGTAGTTCATACTTCAACTTACTGGTGTCCTAATTATTTTATTATTTATAAAAACCCAATATCTATACTTTTTCTTGAGTAATGAACGTGAATACTTTTGAACACGGCTGCTGGCGTGGCAGTCCGGGCCACACAGTCTCAATGTGGTCGGGTCATTGGCACGACGGTCAGTCTGGACGTGAACGGGTAAATGAGCCATAATCGGCCACGGAGCAGACATTGTGACCTAGCGCTGCCTTGGGGACGGAACTGAGTCTGCCTGTTGCAGGGAGGTTGGGGGACACCAGATACAAGAGGAGCAGATGTAAAGGGGAATTGGGTGGACAGACTTGCACCATGCGAGTTCAAGTGGCAGAACAAGATGACTTGGATATACAAAGTGGGTGTGGAAGGAAGGGATGATGAGACACAAATTAAAACGATGTGGCTTGGACAGAAGCGTGGAACAACGGGACTTGGAAACGGGTGCAGAATGAGGTGACAATGTGGTGGCCACATATAATAGGCCAAGCAGGTAGCCAAGTGAAGGTTAGAAGGGGACAAATGGTAGAAAAACGACATTTAGCAAATGAAAATACAAAACAAACTCAGTCCAAAAGGAGTTTTAGGTAAAGGAGGCCAAATCTGAAACCATAACATTCAGTATGTGAAGAATCGGAATCTACAGTTTAAAGATGTGTTGGGAAGGTAAGGTTGAAGGATGAACAGAAAAAAAAACTATTAACATGAGGGGCGCCAGAGGACACCCATGAGAGGAAAAGAGAGGAAAAAGAGAGTGCATACTTCTTAAGAGGGACTTGATCTGCATGCTCAGGCTGATAGTGTGTGTTTTCTTCTGTGTCTGGGTATGCTCAGCTATGACCTGGTGGACATATAAGGATTTTTCAAGTCTGAAAAGATTTTTATTCGTGACAGACCGCACACATATTGATAGAAAGTGAGTTTTGGGGCATATTTTGTGTGGTCTGCTGCCATAATCTCAACACAGAACACACTACACACCTAAAGATTTTGCTACGTCACCAGTCTAGAACGCAGTCCTCTGAGGCAGAGTTCTTGCCTGATATGTAATCTAGCCATCCATCCGTTTTCGAATGCGCTTATCCCCACGAGGGTCACGAGCATGCTGGAGACTATCTCAGCTGTCTTCGGGCTGAACCTGTTGCTAGCCACCCTCAGGGCACACACAAACAAACATTCACACTCACAGTCACACCTAGGGCCAATTTAGAATGTTCGGTTTACCTACCATGCATGTTTTTGGAGTGCGGGAGGAAACCGGAGTACCTGGAGAAAACCCACGCAGGCACAGGGGAGAACATGCAAACTCCACGCAGGAAGGCCATTGCCGGAACCCATGATCTCTGCAGTGTGAGGCGGATGTGGTTCCGAAGAGGATGTGGGGCAGGAGTGTTGGAAAATGGCAAATGGAGGGAAATGCTTTGGGAAAACAGCTCGTGCGGTCCGGGCAACAAGCTTTGACAAAAAGCAACATTGGGTAGGACAAATTTTGTTGACTTCACCGCTGCTTCCTTGTTCATCATTCGGGATGATTATTTGGTTGGCTAAATTCCATTCACAGTGTCAAATGGCTCAGGAGTGGCGGTTTTCCCAACACACATTAAGATTTTTGGTTGTAAGTACAGTGATTGAACATGATTGATATTCAACATTTAGGGCCCTGACTCATTTCTGACCCTATTATCGGGACGAATCTATTCTCAACACACCTTCGACATTAAGGATAACCTTATCGGACAATCTTATAAAACATTAGATAGTT